AACGTCAGTGTCCTTCCCTGGCCTTCCAAATCGCCTGATTTGAACCTGATCGAGGATCTATAGGACGAACTTGACCGTAAACATCACCATCGTCTTCAGACATTTGGAGAACTTGCCCACGCGTTGCAGGAGGAATGGCGAAGAATTCCCAAGCAAAAATCCAACGACTTGTGCAATCCCTTCCAAGGAGGTATCGAGCAGGGGATGCTGTCACCAGGTACTGACCTGCGCCCCCTTGTGTCCAAACGTGCAGTGAGTGAACTGGCTTAATGCTGCCAATGACAACAATACATATGTTCATCCGTATGTCGAATTTCCTTCATCTATATTCAAGTTTAATCGACTTATTTACGTTTAAATACGTTAATACATTTCCTTTTTTGGGCCTATGCGTTTCTCCTTTTTTCTAAAGAGTATATCATATGGTCTCTGCTCGGAATGATTTCGCATTCTTGAGTGGAACACGAGATGGATACTGCTTACGGAGAAACTATTCTGAACCAAATGCTGTCAATAATGCATAAATATCAACCCACAGGTAAACAATATCCGACATGATGTTGATATGGAAGGTAGCAACAACGAATTTGATCTTCCTACAGCGTTAAGGTTAAGTCTATTCGCGCTTCTCGGTTGCTATGCACATTTCCCAAACAGCATTAATATTTAGGGTTAAAAAGAGTTGCTGTCGTTTGTTGTAGTTTGAAACTAGTTTAAATATCTCATCAATCTCTTTGCTGACGCCGCGTACCGTAAAACCTCTGGTAGGATGCGAGGGAGATGCTGATAACCATGCAGCAACAGAAATTATTTGCCCCCGACCCTTGAGACATTCCCGATGTCATTGGTCTGTTTCTGTACAACGCAAGACGATGATGGTTATCAAGGCAGAATCCAAATTATCTCATTTCCCATCGTACGGGTTGTCTAAATCGATATTTTTTATGGTCAAGAAGTGTGTAGTTTAACCTATGAGGGCGCATGGTCGAGATACTTATAGGATGCCGACACGTGAAGGTTCGGGTTAGAATTGATCTTCAGTAACCCATGCTTGTCATAAAGGGCGACTAACGGGATCGGCTGGTCAGGCTCGCTGACTTGGTTGACACGTGCCATCGTATCCCATGCAATTGCGAATAGATCGATGCTTATGCTGTTCATCACTGAATTGTCTGGTCCAAACGCGATTATTTACAGACCGCCGTCATATAGCAGGAATATTGCTGAGTGCAATATAGGATGCCAGTATCTTACACTGTGATGTTGCGGACTGGTTCTAATCTCTCGCTAGTTGCGTAGGTCGTAAACATCCGTCACCATTAGCTCCTATGCGTAACGTCCAAGAAGATATTCGGCTTGTCTCGGCATAACTCGAGTGTGTCACGAATGGGTGGTGGACGTTGGTGAAATCCTCGAGAATTCAATGATAATAGTATTGTTGAATCTTAACGATCCTGGCGCAAGGTTCGCAGCTCTGCAAATCTCTAAAAACAACAAAGGTCTAGGAGAATAATCATACCCTGCCTTGCCAAGGATGTCGACGAGGGGGAATGTTTCTCATTACCATGCAACACGGTGTAGCCAGATGAATGCTGATAATCTAGACGTTTACAGTGGAGGATGGTATTCCATTGGAACAGAGAAGAAATTCTACGTCATTCATAAACTGTTGTAGAAGCAGATATTTCACTCCTGCCTTTGACGCATGGTGTGTACTGAGAGACAGAATATCAGGCTACAACAGTCCTGTTAACTGAAATGGTTATCTAAGCTGATCTGACAGCTTCCCTTGTCTACTGTTTTGCACTTGAAACTCACCCTAATGCTTCTGTACAAGAGTTCCGCTTCACTACCAGCCCTGCAGAGCCGAAGCATAAGACCCGTGGTTAGCCCATTGTGATGTGCTTTAGCTCATCGTGGTTCTGTTTAGTTCTCCGTGATTACCCTCTTGTGAAGTGCGTTAAAATTAGTTTTTCGTGGTCCAGTTGAGCTACCAATGGTTAGCCCCTTGTGAAGTGCGTTAGCTCATTGTGGTTCTGTTTAATTCTCCGTTATTAACCCCTTGTGAAGAGCGTTAGTTCCTCGTGGTCCAGTTGAGCTACCAATGGTTAGCCCCTTGTGAAGTGCATAAGCTCATCATGGTTCTGTTTAGTTATCCGTGACTAACCCGTTTCAGAAACGCGTTAGCTTTTAGTGGTCCAGTTTAGCTATCCGCATGGTAACATATTACCAGTGATCTACAACTTCAAATGGCAGCAATATTTGTAAAACAGCATTAAAGACATATACTTTATATCGTTAGATATACAACACGTATTGTTGGGGTCATGCATTGACCTAAGACCTAATAATATACGCTAAACACAGTTGCTTCCCTTACCTGCGGCAGGATCGCTGGTGACGGATTCTTCTCGCAGATCATCCCCGTTATGATATTTTCTCGGTAGTGAAGTTTAACCAACATTTACATCCTGCATCATTATAAGTTTTCTTTCCTTGTATTCAGCTCACACTAACGGAGGAATTAATCTGTACTGTTCGAGGTCGATGTAAAATTCATCGACCTAGGCACTGCACCCTTGATTTTTATTTATTACATCAAATTTCCGTTATATTTCTTACCATATTAGCCTCGAGCTGTGAGATATGTTGCACTCTATACTCATGGATGGTGCACCCATTATATCCTTCCTTCTAGACCCTCCATCTTGAGGTGATACGGCATAAAGAACCCGCTTGTAAATCTTGTCTAGTTCCTGAAAACATATCTAAGCTGCTGTAACAAATAACAGACACAGAAACTTTGTTTGCTCTACAAACGCAAATAAACCTGCCGGCACTCTCAACCCGAACGCTGATGGCATCGCTCCTTTCACTTAATTGAATTCAGTTCAGGAGCACAGCCACGGCATTGGGCGCACGTACCCTAAGAGCGTATATGAGAGTGATTTGTACTTCTAATACACAATCCACGTGGGATTGTCCCCTGATAAAGTCATCGTCACCCTTCAGTTGTCTATAGTGGTAGGGTGTCATCAGCGATTGGTCTACAGTCAACGGTACAGCTTATTCTTAGCATACACGTTAACCAGTTAGTTATACGCATATGCTCGAATTTAGGACACTCGAGGTTTTGAACAGTCGTTAAAATGTATATAATGGACGACACGAAACGCAGAGTGGACGATGTTTGAGCAAAACAGAAAGTCACGACTTTTCAAATATTTCCGGAGTTCAAAGTCCGGGCGTTCTTCTTACAACAGATATATTCATGTGCCATTTTAGAGTAGACACGGGCCCCTATTGCAGTACTTATTTGCAGCAAAATGGTATGTTTATTAATTCTACAAAAATATAATTTTGAACAATATATACCCGAAGTATCATGTGCTTTACAGGCATCCTGCAACAGTTGGTCCTTTGTATTTGTCGCCATCATATCTTGACAAGGCATGAATATTTTACTGAGAACATTAATATGAACCCGGTGGGGGGTTGGGTTGGGGGCTGGGGGCGTGTTTTATCCAAGTATTGAAATGTCAACTGTCTTTCTGAAAATTCATGTGCATTATGGGCGGATCCAAGAATTTTGAAGGGGGTGAAGGGGGGGTCGAACCCCTGAACCCCCACTGGCTCCGCCAACGCAGAAAAAATGTTCAATGTGGCCTTTAAGTCATTTTCAAGGGGTGTGGGTGTGTGTGTGTGTGTGTGTGGAACACCCCTCTGGGGTCCGCCAATGTGCATCCCCTTCAGACACCCTCTGTATCCGCCAATGTGCATCCTTCAGAATTACTGTGTCATACTGACCCTGGAACAAGTATACTGCAGCGCACTCAAGCTTATACTGACCCTGGAACAAGTATACTACAGCCCACTCAAGCTTATACTGACCCTGGAACAAGTATACTACAGCCCACTCAAGCTTATACTGACCCTGGAACAAGTATACTACAGCCCACTCAAGCTTATACTGACCCTGGAACAAGTATACTACAGCCCACTCAAGCTTATACTGACCCTGGAACAAGTATACTACAGCCCACTCAAGCTTATACTGTTTGGCAAGTCTTGACTACTGCAGCTTCGGTTTCTGAAAATAGAGAAAAATCTTTAATCTTGTTTTTTATTTAATATTTTACTTAGTTAATATAAGAACCGTTTTCTGTAAAATATGTTCATTTCTGAGGCTAGTTTTCCTTCGGAAAGTGACTCACGAAATGCGTGTTTTCCCATCAAGGAAAATGACTAACAAACAATTTCATTATGTGTGTGTCAAAACCATTGTTAATTATATTGTCTGTGACCTGTTTGTCCCTCCAATTGTTGGTTAGTATTGACGTGATGATGTGTGGCATGTTACAGTACAGACCAGAATTCATCAACTATGATTATCGGACAGGCACCGTATATTCTCTAATGATAAGCCTGATGACCAACTACAGCTTGTGTCAGCAGTTATGACCCAACCGCTATATTGAAATATGACTTTTATACAATATCAAGCACTTGTTCGCCATAGTCATGGAATGCCTGTGAATATACATCACATATGAGATGTATGCTATTTCAATATATACCCATCTTCCAAATTTGTGAACACATTTGCGAATTGAGAATGGTGCACAATTATGTTTCCATGTAAGCACAATGTTGTAATCGCCATGCTTATTGTACAAGACAGTGTTTAAAACAAAAAGGTAGCGTTTCTGTGAGAAATGTAAACAATACATGACATGTAACAGGTGGTGGTGACGTTTCATATCTTGTAGAGAAATGAGTTCTAAATTAAATGAAGTCATCATGAAACAGAAAGTGAAAAATCTGTAATTTTCAAAATTGGTGGATTTGTCAAAATTTTACGCTTTTTCTCCAGCATTTTTATGTGACTCAAGACAAAGTTGAAATGAATTCTAGCGTATTAAATTTCATGTTAAAAAGAAAGATCCCTATTGCCATGGGCTATCGCCACCAGAGCCGTGACGTCACGAGGTGCGCGCGCCCGTTCGCCCAGCTCGTGGAGGCTATTTATATTCTGCAGTTCTCGTCTGCTTCCACTGAGCGGCGACGGCGGATTCATCGAGTTTGCCACGGCGAGTAAGCAAGTTGAAGAGGAAAACCGCTTTATACAAGGTATAAGTCGTTATTGATAGACTTCACATCCTTTGTTTCAGTTTCCTTGTGTGGTGAAACGTAACCTGGCGCTACGATCATGAAGGAGCGACCCGCTCCCTTTATTTACCTGGTGGAGCAATTATTCCCCTCTCACACTGACTATAGATGGCTCCTCATTTCGCTATTTGATAATACTCTAAAATAATAATATTTTTTATTTCTTCAAGGTTAATATGACAACAATGTTAAATAATTGTAAATAGGTTTTTAAAAAAAAAATATTTGAAGTTCTGTTTGCTAATAAATTAATGTTCGGAAACGCATTTTGAGACTGAGATTTAGTACCGTAAAGGTGGTGATTATTGACACGCTGTAGTACAATGTCGTCAACTTTAGTATTAAGTTCAAAACCATTGAATCTCAGTGCTTTATGATATAGTATACGTGTTCTTAGGTGAAGTCTCTATATTATTTGTTAGGTTTTTACACCATTTAATTATTTTATTTTTGTGTGAAAACTTGCACTCTTAAGTAAAGAGAAGTACCTCAGATTGGTTATTTTCTTATGTGTGTGTATTTAGTTGAGGTTTAACTTTCTTTTCAATTCAAACATTTGGTTTGTCACCTACAAACTGTTGATAATTCAGACAATATTTGAATAAACATACCCAGTTGTTTCTAATAATTGTCAACTCTTTCATCTCTTTGTTTGAATTAAACCTTTGATAAGATCTTGGTTTTATTAAATGTCATAATTATTGTACCATTAACACCCACCCACGCATGTTGAATACAGACTTGGAACATTTACATACTCAAGGAGACTGAAGAGTGTTAAGAAATGTGCCCTCAAACACTTCATAATCACAATACTGAGGATACTGGAATGACTTAATGTGTTTTAGAAGACAACGTTAGCCTAATGTTTGCACTAATAACAGTAATAACAAAAGGATTGTAAACCGTTTTAGAGAAAATACCATGCATGGTTAAGCATGGCCGTTTAAAAGAGATGATTACTTTGATAGTGGAGGGTGATAGATGAGTTTTTTAAGTGGTCTGTCAATGTCACTGCAATGATTAGCTTACAGAGACTGCTTCTTTTGTCCCAGTGATGTTTTAGGGGGGAGGGGGGGGTTCTTTGTCAGACAGCTGCTAAAACACTGACAACACTCACTGCTTCTTGAGAATCATTATCACCAAAAAATAGAAAAGTTTCGAAAGGATGAGTATAATATATTTTGATTAATCTGAGACCACAGTAATTTTTAGCCGTCATAACCTGTACAGTTACTTCTGAAACTAAAGGCAGATATTAGCTCTATCCACTAGCCCTGATCAGTTCTGTTGATGTTCAGGGCTAGTAGAATTCGAACATTTTTGGGAAGCATTGCTAAATATTACCACTATTCGGTCTAGGAGACTTTCTGGTCAATTTGTATTTTCCTGCCTTCAGTGACTGTGAAAAGATAGGTTCAACCCTTGAATGAAGGCCAAATAAAAAAATGTTGTAGTTCCAATTACACCTCTTTAAAATTTAGGGTAGGTAGGTAGGAATTCTTTTTTTTTTTTTTCTTTTTTTTTTAGAAGTAAAGTATGAACTAATAACACATTTATCAATGTATAATTGTTTATGCAATCAAGCGTGCGGCCATCATGTTGACTTTCTCTATCAGAATGACCGATGCCCATTAGTGCCAGGCAAAAACAAGGATATCTGAAAGCTTATTTTATTCATACCTCTAAAAAACCCGGGTAAAACGGTCGGGTAATCGGAACCACAACATTTCTTTTTTAGGCCGAACCAAAAATGTGTTTGGCAGTGGACATATAATCACTGATCTGATGCTAACCTACTTCTGATTAAGAAAAATGAAATGTTTGAAATTGGTCGAAAACCACATTGGCTGTAAATTTGAAATGTTCTGAAAGGATTAGAAAGGGTTTTCACTCCTCTGAGATCAACATTATCAAGTTCTTGTGATGGAGTCTAATGGTATTTGTCTTCAAAACACAGTGCGAAATGATGCACAGGTCGATTATGAGATTTCATGAAACGATACAATACACTATATTTTTTTCTGTATTGATAGAAGATAATACACTGTTTAAATTACTTACTTCTCATTTATTGACATTGTTGTGTCAGTTGAATATTGCAAAACAAATTGTAATAGCATTTTAAGTTCACTGCTAAAAAATGCTGTGATGGACAGCTTTTCCTTTTGAACCTAATCTGAAATATTTATAGTCTCGTTGTTTCCATGCGATTAGATAGGAATCTGCATATTGCAGCATGTATCATATTGTGACCTTTGTTTTACCACTACAAACTAAAGAGTGTTTCCAAACTAACAGGCTTTCCATGCTATTGGGTTACCAGACTCACTGTGTTTCCAGACTAACAGGGTAACCAGTCTAACAAGATTTCCAGACAGGGATTTCAAGACTGTTTTTAAAAATAAAAGTTCCCATACTTATTGCATTTCCAGATTAGCTGGGTTTCTATATGATTAGGGTATCCAGAAAAACGTGTTTCAGTTACAATGTAGACAGACAAACTGGATTTCCATACCAATAGGGTGTCCAGAGTTTCCCCAGTAACGAGGTATACAGACAATCTGGGTTTCCATACTGATTGGGTGTCCAGAAAAAATTGAGTTTCCTCAGTAATGAGGTATACAGACAAGCTGGGTTTCCATTCTGATTGGGTGTCCAGAAAAATCGGGTTTCCTCAGTAACAAGGTATCCAGACAGGCTGGGTTTTCATACTGACTGGGTGTCCGGAAAATCGGGTTTCCTCAGTAACAAGGTATCCAGACAAGCTGGGTTTCCATACTGATTGGGTGTCCTGAAAATCGGGTTTCCTCAGTAACAAGGTATCCAGACAAGCTGGGTTTCCATACTGATTGGGTGTCCGAAAATTGGGTTTCCTCAGTAACAAGGTATCCAGACAAGCTGGGTTTCCATACTGATTGGGTGTCCGAAAATTGGGTTTCCTCAGTAACAAGGTATCCAGACAAGCTAGGTTTCCATACTGATTGGGTGTCCGGAAAATTGGGTTTCCTCAGTAACGAGGTATCCAGACAATTGGGTTTCCATACTGTTATCATCATAATCCCTGTAGTCATGCAGAAACCGCGAGTTAACATTTCATTATTTACTATCATGTTGATATGAGATTAAGCTGGAATATTGGGGTCAAATTTCAAAGGTCTTGTCTTTTAATGGACCCTGTGTTCTTCTGACATTTGTTGGAAACATATTTATGGCAGTCAAATGTTATAAAGGCTAGGTGCTTCTGCTGCTAGTTTCATATTATCTACACCTTTTACTTATAGAATTGTACAGCACAGTGCAAGTGCTTGATATGTCTATCAATTGTTGTCAGTTAAATACATTTACAGTTATCAATGACTTAGCATCAGTCACAAGAGTTGCATTTGGACTGCTGAAATTTGTGGAAGAATAAATACTCATATCATCCAGGGTTTTCCATTTTCTCTAAAATTGGAGGGTCATTGTGACATCTTGGCAGCAAGAAAATATCAGAGGCTTGAGTATACAGTACATGAGTAACAGGTTAAGACTAAAGTCTAGTCTCTGAAATGAACATATGGTTCCAAGCTTATGTTTGTAAAATATAATAAAAAGGCACCCAGACTTTCTTCATTTTCTGAAACTTGAGTCATCTAGACTTGCTACATAATGTGGACTTACATGGGCTATACTGGGTATATTTGTTTCAGGGTCTGTATGACAGACTATAATTGTTCATGTTCTTCGCTTTCAGTAAAAATGTTTCAATTTAAGTAGGAAATAACTGATCATGTTGAAGTTTGATTTCCAGGTTTTATTCAACAGTTTGTTGATAGCATCTTGGATATATACATAATAACACCCTAGCATTGTCATTCATGATAATAGGTGGAAACAATGTAGTATAACTCGGAATAAGATTAACTCTAAAAATATACACAGACCAGACACAATTGATTTAATTTGCTAGTTATGTTGAAGTTCACCCAAACAATGGACATTCTTTACTTGCATTCCAACAGCCCACTAGGCACATTGATAAATATTTCATGGTTTGAGTCTCTACAGAGACCAGTAGATGTATACCAACTTGGGAGACATGTTGAAGTATTAGGTGTTACATGTGTAGTGGCGATATGTTGTTATAATATAACTTATATTATACACTTAATGATCGGTTTGGAGTTAGTTTGTTCCTAATGAGCAATTAATTCCAGGGTTGGCTAAACCTGAGACTTAGTGAGTGAGGTGGGTTAAGCACAAAGTGGAAGAGTTTGACACTCGCCTCACTCACTCTCTCAATCTTTGGTTTGTTTGCTTGAAGCTGCACTCAGCTATATTTCTTCTATATGAGTATGGCATGCTCGGATCCAGAGGGGAGGAACAAATTGCGACCCCCAAGAGTCCAAATGTACATGTTTTATGCCCAGGGTTCCGAGTGGCATACTACTTGGATTATCAACAAATTGTTCATGGGCGAGAAAAGTCATGCTAGCTGGCAATTATTGATAAGAGATAACTGAAGTACTGCCTTTGTGTGTCTATTTTGTCTTGCAGTATTGGTCCACTGTTGACATTGCTGAAGTTGCAGTAATGTACAATCAAATAATACACTGGGTGCTAGCTGGGAGCTGTATGATCTTATGAAGATTGGATCCTTGTAATAGTCCAGGGCAAAAGTGTACTTAGTTACACTATACATGGTGGTAGAACAAACTTTTTTTCTTTTCTAAGATGCTAAATTTCATACTTTCCTATGGTTAATCTTAATCAGAAAATAAACAGAAAAACGATGAAGTCGGTGACCTAAATTAACAATCCTCGCTCAGGGCTAACTGAGGTGCTCCGTCCCCCAATGTTAAGGCTCTAGTTTATAGGAAAACAAATGCTAAACAGTTTTAAGGTTTATATTCAGGGTTAAATATTGTCTTTTCATTGTTGATTTTCATTAAATCTGTGATTATCACATTTCAAACTAG